ATGAAAAAATTTATATATATTCAAAATTCGAGAATTTTTTCTTATTCATAAAATTATTTTCTAAGTTAAAAAGCTTTTTTTCTAAAAAAAAAAATTTTTTTTTAAGGTTATGTAATTGTTATAATTTTTTATGTAAATATATTTTCCGTAGGTTTTCTCGAAAAATACTTGACAGATTGAATTTTTTCGTGATTTACGATAAATAAAAGTAAAATTTTGTGGAAAACTTAAAAATCCCACTAGGAAAGATTCCCCGGAAAGTGCCCCCTGCAGGTTCTATCAGAATTCCGCCGGTACTTCCATCAGAGTTCCAAAGAATTTCCGACGCAATTCCGATTAATTTTTTTCAAAATTTTTAGAGTCCTAATTCCGTCGGAATTCCGTCAGAATTCCGTCGGATCTCCATCGGAAATTCCGATTAATTTTTTTCAAAATTTTTAAAGTCCTAATTCCGTCGGAATTCCGTCAGAATTCCGTCAGAATTCCGTCGGATCTCCATCGGAAATTCTTTGGAACTCCGATGGAATTCCGACGGAATTACGTTGGAAGTTCCGGCGGAATTCTGATAGAACCTCCAGGGGGCACTTTCCGGGGAATCTTTCCAAGTGGGATAGTATAAGAATTCGTTAACATGTGCCAAAGTATATTTATTTATTTATTTTTTTACATGTAAGCGGCGTTTCAAAACAGAAAAAATTTCACCTTTCGATCAAAATACTAAAATTAAAGAAATTATAAAATATATTAATATAGAAACATAATTGTTTCTTAAAACTTATAAACAATAATAATAACAAAATTAATATTTTGTTCAAAAAAAATTTTTTATTAAAAAATTGCATATTTAGAGAAATGACTAAAATTGTATTGTCGCCATATTAAATGTTCATAAAATACGCAATTGTTCAAAAATAAATTTTTTAGGACACAATATTAATTTTATTTTATTAATTTTTAATATTTATTAATTACTAATTTCATTTTATATTCATATATTATAATTATTATACTTTATTTTGATTATAATTGTTATATTATATTTTTATTATAATTATAATATTATATTTATAATTTATTTTATTAATTTAATTTATTTTATTAACTTTGTTTTATTTTCCAAGAAAACATGCGGAGAACATTTTAATATTAAATTACAAAAAACAAATGATCTTAAGAATGCAATTTCATTCTGTATACACACAAAAAAAAATAACTTTTATTGATTTAAAGAAAATTCCTTTAATTTAAATAATCGGTTACTTGACTATTTATCAAATAAATATTTACTTGTACTAAATAATTTTTATTTACATTAAATAAACTGTATTTGATTAAAATAATCGTGCGTATATTTGAAACAAATACCATTTAATTAACTGAAATAAAAATTATTTGTAAATATTTATTTGATAATAAATTAAGTAACCGATTATTTGAATCAAATAAATTTTGTTTTTTATGTACAACGTGAAAAAAAAAATCTTTATACCTGGAACAGCGATACGTTTCACTAAAACAGCAAAATTTTTCGCTATTCTAGAGAAACATATCATTGTTCCAGATAAAGAATTTTTTCTGTAAATGTTTACTCTCTAAATTTGAATTAGTGAAAAGTGAGCTACTAATTCCCATTAGTAAGAATTTTTACTAATTTTTAGTAAAGTATTAGTATTTGATTTAGTAGTTTAAATTTTTTTACTAAAGTTTTAGTAAAAATTGACTAAAAATTAGTAAAAATTCTTACTAATTTAAATTAGTAGCTCAATTTTCACTAATTCAGATTTAGAGAGTATAAAAAAAATTCTCTAAATCTGAATTAGTAAAAAAGTTAACTAATTTGAATTAGTAACTCACTTTTTGCTTCTCAATTAATAAAATTTTACTAATTATTAGTAACTTTTACTAACAATTAGTAAAATTTTACTAATTCTAAAGCTTTTTGCTTCTCAATTAGTAAAATTTTACTAATTATTAGTAACTTTTACTAACAATTAGTAAAATTTAACTAATTCTAAAGCTTTTTGCTTCTCAATTAGTAAAATTTTACTAATTATTAGTAAATTTTACTAACAATTAGTAAAATTTAACTAATTCTATAGCAAAAAGTGAGTCACTAATTTAAATTAGTAAACATTTTTACTAATTCAGATTTAGAGAGAAAGAAAACAGTTTTTAGATAAAAAAAACTTAGTTAATTATTTAATTACTTGCCGAATAGAAGCTCTTACTCCTTAAAAAATATTCTTCCAAAAAAAAATAGACAGACATACCTGAAACCAAAAAAAAAACAAAAATTAGTTAAAAATTTATAAAATTTTGTTTTTCCCTACTGTATTTTAAAAAAGAAAAAAAGCTCATTGTATAGAATTACTGCGTATAAAATGCAATAATCAAATAGACATACGTGCAGAAATAAGGGGGTTAAGGAAAATAATAGTGCAAGAGAGACAGAGCGCATTAAAGAAGAAAACGAGACCGAAATTGCAAATGCAAATGGAAATGAGAGTATGGCACTTTGTGTAAGAAATGATTTCCTCGCGCATTCTTGGTGACTTATGAAAGGTTCGTGCGTCGGTGCGATAAAGAGGGGAAGAAAAAGCTCGCGAGATACTTCCGGAAGGAAATGGCATTGATATCCGTGTTATTTTGTTCTCGCGTCACGAGAGAGAGAGAGAGAGATAAAACGAAAGAGAACCAATATCTATTCACTGCTCGCCGCTTACCGCTGGTCATAAAATGAAATAATGCGATTTCCTCTACATCGAGAGATCACTTTTTTTTTCTCTCTCTCTCTCTCTCTCTCTCTCTTTTATTCTTAAAAAAGTCTCGAAAACCTCTTGTTCTGCTTTCGTTGCTCTCTTCACGAGTTGGCAATTTACGCTTAGTGTTTTCTTTTTCCTTCCAAAAGTTTCTATCCTTTTAACACTGGTACACGCCCCTATTACAATTTTTTCCTTTTTTTTCAACAAAGCTGCTAAATCAGATAGTTAGATAAATTATATATATATATATACACTTTTCTGCGAAACTTTAATCATGAAGAAAGTTTAAACAAAAGTTTTTTGCAAGTTAAAATTCATGAAAATGAAAATTTTCTTATCTTAAATGAATACTATGAAACTCTGATGTAATGATCCTTTTAGATTTCTGTTTTATCTCTCTCTCTCTCTCTCTCTCTCGATGTAGTATTTTAATTTTTCAACTTATTTTATATCTTCATTTTTTTTATCCTTGCTTCGTTACTTATTATTTTAATTTAAATTTCGTTATATCTATTTATTTTAATTTTCGTTCTGATATTTATTTTTCTTCTCTTTCTATACTTTTTACCTCCATTTTCCCTCTCCTTTTTATTTACCTTCTCCTTTTTTATTTTCCTTGTCCTTTTATTTTAACTCGTTTATTTTTTATTTACTTTAATTAGTTCCTTTTTTAGTTTCTTCTTTAGTTTCCATCTTCAGTTTCTGTTTAGTTCCTTTTTTAGTTTTTTTTCCGTTTTTCGTTTTTTTTTTTTAGTTTTTTTTAGTTCCTTTTTTTATTCGTTCTCCTTACTTTAATTTACGTTCACTTGCTTTTATTTTAATTCACTTTTATTTATTTTAATATACATTTATTTTCAATTCATTTATTTTTTATTTAATTACTGCTCAAGACGACAAATATTTTTTATATTAAATAAATTTCGTTCTATTTTTATAATATTATTATTATATTATAATTACTGTTATTTTATATTTTGTTTATTTTTTTATTTAATTAATTAATTAACTAAGTTGACGCGACTTAATTATTAAAGCTGTTTCAAAATTTTTTAACTTTACGTTTCAATTAATGTGGTATTTTAATCTTTAACTCTCGGTTTAAATATATTTATATATATATATAAATTATTGCTTTCATCGTACAAATTTTTTAATCATTTTATTATATTTTAAATTAATCGGTTTAAATATTAAATTAATATTGAAACACGAAGTTAAATTTTACGCGGGGGTTGAAAAAAAAAGTTAATTGCCAAGGACTTCACGAGGGTTTTAGTAATTTCCTGGAAGCGAAGCAGAGCAAAATAATAATAATAAAAAAAAAGAAAAAAAGAAAAAAATAGAGCGACAGAGGATTCACTGCTTAAATATTTTAATTAAAACAATAGTGACATGATTGAGTAAGAGGAAACATACGATTCTTTTCTTTTTTATTTCTACATTCATTTTATAATTGCTATATGGCTGTTATACACTTTTTTTCTTTCTACGCACAAAAACCAATATTTATTCTGTCGCGGAAAAAAAAATTAAAAAATAAAAATAATTTTCGGATTTTTGAAAAATTTTCTATTTTTGTAAATAATTTTTTTATTTATTTATTTAAATAAGTTGACGGGACAATAATAATATTAAATAATAATGACAATAATATAATAATAATAATAATAATAATAATAATAATAATAATAATAATAATAATAATCAAAATAATAATAATAATATTATAAATAAGTAAAGTAATTTTTACTATTTGCAAAGTAAATCCTAAACTGTTTGAGAATTTTCTCATGTTTGTGGAAATTTTGTTCTGAAAATAGTAAAAAATAGTAATATACTACGAAGAAATAGTAAAAAAATACTATATTCACTCCGAAGAAAATTTTACTATTTCAGTATAGTAATTTTTTCTATTTCCGAAGCAAAAGTTGCGAGAAATACGCAGAAGTTTCGATCAGTTCATGTTAATTTACTTTGGTAGTATAGTAAAAATTACTTTAAAATTTTTTTTTCCATGTAATTTTAAAAATAGAATCTTGGCTCCTAATTAAAAATATAATTCATTAATTCTTAATTAATGTATTAATTATTTAAATAATTTTTTTTCAGTATATTTTATTTATTATTATTTATTTATTATTCATTAATTATTTATTTATTTGTTATTTATTAATTATTAATTTATTATTTATTTGTTATTTATTAATTATTAATTTATTATTTATTTGTTATTGTTTAGGATTTAATCATTGAACATTATTTAACTTAGAGAAAATTCAATAAATCTTTAATCTCGACACCATACACTAGGTTTTCTCAATTCAGCGCCAAAATTCACACTCACACACGCACGACACTCTCATTGTACGCGAACGACGCAACACACACCTTCAAACCACACTCAGGCGACAACTCACACTTTGTCACGCATCAATCACTTATTAGTATCTCATTAGCATTCAACACGGAAGGAAGCTCTCGCATTAAGCAAGGCGTATTTTTTTTTTTGGTTGGTTTTTCTCAATGCTAAATTTCAAATAAAGTGAACACCGTTTGTGCTCATTAAATTTACTTTATTATTTTGTGTCCATTATAATTAAAACTATAAAATTCAAACTTTTGTTTTCGACGCCACGGCGTGGTCAAGCCGTGACCAAATTTGCGCGCATCGCTTGTGTACATATCTGAATTAATCGAAATAAAATCGTTGTTTAATTTCACCTGAACACTTCTCATTCCTTTTAGCAAATCTCATACATTTGGTCCTTCGAGCCGGATAGTGTTCAGTGAAAAATTGAAACGTGCAAGTTCAACAGGTACAGTGAAAGGCAAGTGTAGTGCGCAGGTGGTGGGGACTCAAGGCTCTCGCTCTGTGACGGACATCGACTTGCCCGGCGATTCTCAGTGTCGGCCATATTGGCTTCTCTCCACACTATATTACTCTCTCTCTCAACACGTTGTGCGCGCTCTCTCTCTCTCTCATTGGAAAGTGCTCTCTCTCTCTCAACACGTTGTGCGCGCTCTCTCTCTCTCTCTCTCTCATTGGAAAGTGCTCTCTTTCTCAACACGTTGTGCGCGCTCTCTCTCTTTCTTTCAACACAGTGCTCGCTCAGTGTAACAGACTAGAGATCCGCTCGCCCGGTTTCAGTGTCAGCCATCTTTGCTCGGTTCGTCTCTTCACTTTCCGATCCCTCACGACCGTCTCCGACGGAAACCGAATTTTTTGATTCTCTCCTCACACACTTCTTGCTCAACTCTCGCCATGAACACTGATTCAAAAGAATCTGTCAACTCAGCTGACGAAACTCAACCACCAAACAAGGAACAATCTCATGCTCAAACTCTTCTCTCACCAGATACGGAAATTAAAGAAGTAATTTCAACAATGGAAAAGCTCACAGTTAAAGAGGAAAGCTCAACTGTCAAAAATGTGGATTCTCAACCAAGTACATCTCAAGGTCAATACAACATTTCAAAAAAAGGTGCACACTCATACAAAGGTAAAGATAAGTTTATCAAAGACACTCATGCCGACCACTCGGTGTGGCTCAATTTCAAGGTTGCTACTCAAACGAGTAGACTCAACTTAATGATAGAATCATTTGAACAACTTCAAAAATTCTCAAGCCGGTATTCACTCAGCGAGCTCAACTCAATGAAAACAATCTTTGAGGATCTCTGGACGGAATTTTCACAGGCTCATGAAGAAATCGGGGAAAAATGTGACAACTCATTTTTTACAACTCCTTACATGACGGAGGAATGTTTTGAACAGGGATTCAAAACTTTCATGGACTCAAAGATTACAATCAACTCACTCATCGAACAACTTAAACAACCAGTGTCACAATTAACTCAACAAACAGAAAACTCTCAACCTAAACGCCGACAGCTCCCAGAAATTTCATTGCCAAAATTTTCTGGGGATTACTCGGCTTGGACCTCATTCAGAGATTTATTTCAATCACTTGTCGGGCAAAATTCAGAAATCTCAGGAGTGGAAAAAATGCATTATTTACGGACATCTCTTACTGATGAGGCAGCTCAATTGATTGCCAATCTCCCCCTCTCAAGTGACTCATTTTATTCGGCTTGGGAATTACTCACTTCTCGCTATGAAAATAAACGGTTACTTATTGCATCTCAAATGGACAAACTTTTCAACTCAAAGATTATCTCACCAAAATCAGCTGGAGATCTCAATGCGCTCATCACCACTACAACGGAATCACTCAATGCACTCACTTCTCTCGGTGCTCCAGTTGACTCATGGGATCTAATTCTTGTTCATTTTATCATTCGAAGATTGGACACTCAAACCAGGGAATCCTGGGAAGTTAAACAAGGCTCACGGACAACATCCCCTACTTACAAAGAACTCAAGGACTTTCTCACTGGGCGTGCTCGTGCCCTTGAAAATATGCAGTTAAATTCAACTCAATATTCTCAGGCAGCAAAATCAACGGCGTCAACCTCAACCTCAAAGTCAACTCAATCAACATCAAAATCAGCAAGGGCTCTCACTGCTTCTCATCAAGACTACGGATTTGCTTGCTCATGTTGTCAACAATCTCACTATATTGTAGTTTGTGAGAAATTCAGGAACCTTTCTACTCAAGACAGACGAGAGTTTGTCAAAACTCAACGGCTGTGTTATAATTGTTTGGGGAGACACTCAGCTCACTCTTGTCAAAGCGACAAGCGGTGCAGGGAATGCAACGGTAAGCATCATACAATGATTCACGTTGATGACTCACGGACGAAATCAACCAAGGATGCTTCTCAATCAACAACAACACAACCTGCTCAAAGTGATGACAGCTCAAATTGACTAAATAATTTGACATCTCAAGGTAACAATCATTTTAATATCAGACCTATTGTGCTTCTCGCTACTTCTCAAGCTCTGCTGCTTCTCAGTTCCGGACTCACTCATCCAGTGAGAATTCTCTTAGACTCCGGATCAGAATTATCTTTCATTTCGGAAAGGCTTGTCTCTAAACTCAATCTCACACGGCAATATTCAAATATTTCAATTGTTGGGATTGGAGGAACTGCATCTGGCAATACTCGAGGATTGGTCTCAATCAAGCTTCAATCAATTCATTCTTTTCATACGCTTTTGCTTAATGCTTATATCCTATCAAAACTATCCTCTTCTCTTCCTTCAATCACGCTCTCTGCTCAATCAATTCCTGAATTCAAAAATTTACAATTAGCTGATCCTCAATATTTTCGCAGCTCAAACATAGATCTCATCATTGGAGCGGATCACTATGGGCAATTACTTCAACCAGACATCATTAAAGGAACGGAATCATCACTCACTGCTCAAAAAACACTCTTTGGTTGGGTCATTCTTGGACCTGTCAAGGTTTCCTCACCACAAGCTTGTCAATCTTATCATCTCTCGGTCAATCATGAACTCAATGATCTACAAGACCTTCTTACTAAATTTTGGGTTCAGGAGGAAGTACCACTCAAGGAAAAGGACTCACTCACACCGGACGAATTAGAGTGTGAAACTCATTTTCAAAATACTCATTCACGGGACTCAACTGGAAGGTACATCGTACGACTACCACTTAATCAACCTGCAAGTCAACTGGGCGACTCACTACTTACTGCTCAACGATGTTTAAAATCAATGCTCAATCGGATCTTAAAAAATCCAATTTATGGGGATCTCTATCATGCTTTTCTCAAAGAGTACGAAAAGGACAATCATATGGTTCGTGCTCCATCAACTGATCAATTATCACAAGTGTACTATCTACCTCATCACGGCGTACTCAGGGAACAAAGTACAACCACAAAGTTAAGGGTTGTATTTAACGGATCAAGCTCAACCAGCTCAGGTTACTCTCTCAATGACATTCTTCACACAGGGGCGAAACTTCAAAAGGATATTTCAGACGTGCTACTCTGGACCAGAAGGTTCAAATACATCTTCTCAACAGACATTACAAAAATGTTTCGTCAAATCAAGGTCCATCAACTTGACTGGGATCTTCAACGGATTTTATGGATAGATAGCAATCAACAGGAGGTACCATATCAACTCACGACTGTCAGTTACGGGACGAAATCAGCACCTTTTTTGGCAGTTCGTGCAATTTTGCAACTTATTCAGGATGAAGGTCATTTCTTTCCTCTAGCGGTACCTGTACTCATCAATGGTAGATATGTAGACGATATTTACGGCGGAGCTGATCAACTCAAGGAACTTATTCCCATTGCTCAACAAACGGAGGAACTTCTCAATCGGGGAGGCTTTCCATTAGCCAAGTGGCAAAGCAATCATCCTGATTTGGTTAAAATCATTGCACCTGGACAAATTTCATCACAAACTCATTTATTTGAAAGCAATATCACAAAGGTACTTGGTCTCTCATGGTGCACTCAAGATGACTGTTTCAAGTTCACAACACAAATCTCTACTCAATCTATGGAACGGATTACTAAACGATCTATACTCTCAGAAGTGGCTCAATTGTTTGATCCACTTGGATTTCTTTCACCTTTCACTATTCGGGCTAAGATATTATTACAGGAACTCTGGCTCGAAAAAATCGGATGGGATGAATTAATCTCGGAATTACTCATCAAAAAATGGCTCAAATTCAAAAGGGAATTTTCTCAACTATCAACAATCTCAATACCCCGATGGCTTTATCTCACATCATCCTCAACGGTGGAACTTCACGGATTCTCGGATGCTTCTCAATTTGCAATGTCAGCAGTCATCTTTATCAAATCAACAGAACTAGGACTCAAACCACAAATCAACCTCATCTGTGCAAAAACCAAAGTTGCACCACTCAAACGAATCACCATTCCAAGGTTGGAACTCACAGCAGCGCAATTATTAACAAGACTTATGGCTTACACTCAACGGTCGCTGGATTTACCACATGTACCGGTCTTCATGTGGACAGATTCTCAAGTGACTCTAAATTGGATCCAAAGTCACCCATCACGTTGGAAAGATTATGTTCGGAACAGGGTTTCATTCATTCAAGACCAATTACCTCATGCTCAATGGCGGTTTATCAAGGGTAAGGAAAATCCAGCAGATTGCGCATCAAGAGGTTTGGCAATCTCACAACTAAAGGATCATACTCTCTGGTGGAACGGACCCTCTTGGCTATCGGACTCATCGGATCAATGGCCATCCCCAAAGCTCAAGGAAGATTCATCAGCTCAACTCGAAGAGCGGCCAGGACTCTCTCTCATGGTTTCAACAGATCCTCATTCTCAACTCTGGGATTTAATAGAGCGGTACTCATCCATTAAACGACTGTTGAGAATTACCTCAATCTGTTTCAGGGTCATAAATACTCTCAAACAAATTCCACAATCATCTCTGGCAACTCCACTCACTCCTGGCGATCTCAACAAATCACTTCTTTACTGGGTTCGAGTCACTCAAGCGGCATATTTTTCAATGGAATTGAACAACATCAACATGGATCGAAATCTTCCATCTGCTCATCCTCTCACTCGTCTAACTGCATATATCGACAACCAAGGAATACTCAGAGTTGGCGGACGACTCAGGCATTCAAACTTCGATGTGGATTACAAAAACTCCATGATTTTACCAAAACAATCAGCTCTCACCACTCTCATTATCTCAGAAGCTCATGATCGAACTTTACATGGTGGAACACAACTCACTTTATCTCACATCAGACAAAGGTTTTGGATCATCGGTGGACGACAAGCAGTAAAATCTTACATTCTCAAATGTGTCAAGTGCGCACGTCAACGAGGAATTCGTGCTCAACAACTCATGGGACAACTGCCTCTGTCAAGGATCACACCTTCCCGACCATTTCTCACTACTGGCGTTGACTATGCTGGACCTATCTCAGTCAAGGCTTGGAAGGGAAGAGGTGCCAAATCAGAAAAGGGTTGGATTTGCATCTTCGTGTGTTTCTCAACATCAGCTATTCATTTGGAAGCGGTAACAGACTATTCAACAGATGGATTCATGGCTGCATTTAGACGATTCACTGGTCGGCGAGGTATCTGCCACACTCTTTACAGTGATTGTGGTAAAAATTTCAAAGGGGCAGAAAACGAACTCAAGCTACTCTTTCAGGCTGGGACTCAATCATATAAGGAATTATCTCATCTTCTGACTTCTGATGGAACCACATGGAAATTCAATCCTCCAGCGGCATCTCACATGGGTGGAAAGTGGGAAGCGGGCGTCAAGTCAGTTAAATTTCACCTTCGGCGGACAATCGGCGAAACGATTTTAAGCTATGAAGAATTTACGACTCTTCTAGTACAGATCGAGGCGGTGCTCAATTCTCGTCCTATGGAACCACTCTCGGATGACCCTGAAGATTTCTCAGTTCTCACGCCAGGCCATTTTCTCATTGGAAATTCACTCACGACAATCCCAGAACCATCTCTCATTGATACTCACATCTCAGTTTCATCTCGATGGAAACTCATTCAACAAAAATTGCAATTTTTCTGGTCAAAGTGGTCTGCAAACTATCTTCAACGGCAACAATCAATTTCAAAATGGCATCACCCCTCAAATCAACTCAAAATTGGTTCTATGGTATTACTCACTGACGAGAGGTTTCCTCCCGCTAAATGGCCTCTTGCTCGCATTTTGGAACTTCATCCCGGAAAGGATGGACTCACGAGAATTGTCACTATCAAAACAGCTACATCAACACTCAAACGGCCAATTCATAAATTGGCTATTCTTCCCATCTCAGTGGACGACAATTCAACTTCGAATGGAGATTCATCGTAAATAATCGACAACGCTGTTGCCGATGGCGGGGAGAATGTTTAGGATTTAATCATTGAACATTATTTAACTTAGAGAAAATTCAATAAATCTTTAATCTCGACACCATACACTAGGTTTTCTCAATTCAGCGCCAAAATTCACACTCACACACGCACGACACTCTCATTGTACGCGAACGACGCAACACACACCTTCAAACCACACTCAGGCGACAACTCACACTTTGTCACGCATCAATCACTTATTAGTATCTCATTAGCATTCAACACGGAAGGAAGCTCTCGCATTAAGCAAGGCGTATTTTTTTTTTTGGTTGGTTTTTCTCAATGCTAAATTTCAAATAAAGTGAACACCGTTTGTGCTCATTAAATTTACTTTATTATTTTGTGTCCATTATAATTAAAACTATAAAATTCAAACTTTTGTTTTCGACGCCACGGCGTGGTCAAGCCGTGACCAAATTTGCGCGCATCGCTTGTGTACATATCTGAATTAATCGAAATAAAATCGTTGTTTAATTTCACCTGAACACTTCTCATTCCTTTTAGCAAATCTCATACAGTTATTTATTAATTATTTATTTAATTTAAAAAATTCACACGAATTATTTATTTAATTTATCACATAAATTAGAAAATCCAGCGAATTTCAAATATCCTTATCGCAAAGAATACACAAACATATAATATAATAAGCGAGGGTAAAAAGGAACTTAAACACTTGATGGTGTAATTTAAGAGATTCATAAGATTATCATAATAAGCTCATTGTGTACAAGAAAAAATATCACCGTGACACGATATTATATGAACAATTTTGACATTCCCCTTATGAAATCCAACAAGAGCAAAAAAAAAATACCCAGTCAAGCATTCATAATGAATCCCTTTTTCGCCCTTATCTTATAAGGAAAAAGAAAAAAAAAATTACCAAAATAAAACACCTTGCAGGCTAAGAGTGTGTGTGTGTGTGTTCAGACTATAAAGAAGAAAAAGTCCAAAGATCGATAAGTTCTCGTCTCATAAGACAAATACTATATAAAGAGGGGAGAGGGTGACCAAAAAGTTTTCTTTGAATTTTGGCCTCCTTATGCCCGTTAAGTCACGAGCTTATCTCGATGATAAAAAGGGGGAGAATGAGAGGGGTGGTTTTTCTGTATCAGGTTCATATATGGAATTGAAGGTAAGGTATTCCCTGAACGTATAACCATCAGAATGGGGGAGAAAGACGAACATCTATTTTTTATAAATTTGGACAGCCCTGACGTTAGGATCTTGGAGGGTTGCCGAGAGAGAAAAGAGAGGGAGAAAGAGTCTTTCAGCCAACGCAGACCCTTGGGGTTCTCTTATGTCTTAGGAGAATATACCCCAAGTTGAGGAATTCTAACTTTGTACATACATAGACATACACATACACTTGACGCATATTCCCCCTTCGTACATATATATATATATATATATATATATATCGCGCGCGTCTTCGAGGGATCGAAAGTAATGAAACTGTTTCTTAGGATGCCCCAAAAGCTGACCCGGAACCCTCTCTTTGCGCCTTTGGATATTGCCTACGAGATCGGAATTCCAGACGCTACTCTTCTTCTTCTTCGTTGTGGTGGCGCCAAAGTTTTGCTATATACGAATCCAATTGACGCGATTAGGATTCGTGGCGAAAGCTATGAAAAGCCTTTGGGGCAGTCAGTATAATGTCGATTTAAGATAAAAGGATAACTTTGATGTTATTTCCCAAAAATATATATATATATCTGATACATATAATACTCTCTAAATCTTAATATAAGTGAAATTTTAGTTATTAAAAGTTATAGATCGCTCTCTCCTCAATTATGATTATTTATTTTGAACCAAATATAATACACTGAAAAAAGGGTTTGATATTGACAATCAAACGTTTGGTTGATATTTAAGGAACCAAATTTTTTTTGTTAAATCAACAAAATTTTAATTGTTTCAATCAAAATTTGCTTGACACAACCTAAAATTAGAAAAAAAAGGATTTTTGTTGTCCTAACTAAAGTTTGATTGAGACAACAAAAATTTTGTTGATTCAACAAAAAAAATTTGGTTGCTTAATCCTTTCATTCCCAAGCTAATCTGAGAATTTCAAAAAAGAAAAGTGCAATTGTTCTTACAGTTTTTTGGATCGCTGATGACGAATTTGAGGTCAGATTTTTCAAATTCAAAATGGCGGATACAACATGGCGGACAATTTTTTTTTTGAAAGTGATTAAATCCGCTTGAAAATGGCTACTCGGGGGTTTTTGGAGTCGCTGATTACGAATCCGGTGTTAGTTTTCAAAAATTCAAAATGTCGGATCCAATATGGCGGACAAATTTTTGAAATTGTTAGATTCGCCTGAAATTTTTTACTCGGAGGTTTTCGGAGTCGCTGATTACGAATCTGTCGTTCAGTATACTTCAAGCACATTTATTTTTATTATTATTATTATTTCTTGATCATTATTATAAATTATTGTAAAAATTTATTAATTGCACTTATCTATCGATATATAGGTATAATAGAAACTTTTTTTCGCAGAGAATTTTGTTTTATCAATTTAGATTGTAGTTATTGCACTACATTTTTTGCTAAACGTTAACTTGAGCAATAAAATTTACTGCATCATAAAGGACCATTTTAATGACTTTTTCAAACTAAATTCTCATACCAACAAACAGTTTTTGTTATATAAAGATTTGTTTGGTTAATGTAAAATTTTTTCTTTGTTTCTTTTTTTCTGGTATATAACTGTATACAGTATTGGTAAGAGTTTTTTGATAATAAATTATTTTGCTCATATACATTCAGAAAATAAATATTTAAAATAAAATAAATTTTGTTTAAAATCAAACAATTTTTGTTCAAAATAACAAAAAAAAAATTCTGTTAAATACAAAACAAAAAAATGGTACAAAATTTTTCTCTAAGTATATATATATATATATATGTACACCGTCGAAAGTTGATTTCTAATGCAGATATTTCCAAACAGTAGAAAATATATACAGACATTTTTTAAATAATATATACGTAAATCGTGACATGTTTCCAAGATAATATGCTAATATATATATATATATACTCGACAAGAAAAAATTTTCATATATTCACTAATTCGTAAGATAATCAAAAAGAAGGTCCTGTTTGCGTTGACCCAACAAAAAAAAAAAAAAAAAAAAAAATTCCCTTTTTTAACAAACTCTTATAAAACGTTAGGCATATATTTATATATTTCCTTCTCGAATATTTAGTGATTATTGGTAATTCAGGTAAAATTGTGTCCTATACCGTATATTTAAGTTAACAACATAAATATTTATTTGAGAATATATTTAAACTGAGACTATATTCAAGAAGTTAAAGGTGAATTGAAGGCCCCCCCCCCCTGTGTGGTAGAACGTGGGCGCGAGACGATGCGTAAAAGCCATCGTAAAACTGTGATTAGTATTAACGATCGTACGTGGTGTCCAAACCCAACACACGAGTCCTTTTGGCTAGAGCTCCATAGCAATAATATAAATTAAAAGCCCTCTTATATGTGTATGTATGTGAGTGTGTGTGTGTGTAGCTCTCGCGTTACCTCGTTATACCTCGGTTACGCGCTTTGAACGATCCCAACCAGTGAGTGAGATAGACTTATGACTATTATATACTTTACCGCTTCCAGTGTCATTCGTGAATTCGTAATTTGTACTGATGCTACTTGCCAAGTGCTGCACGCGGTTTAGTGCACCACTAACTCATAATGAAACATAATTCTACATTAGACATGTTTGATTTTACAACTATCGTTATACATATATTCTCCTAAAAATGTGTTTTTTAAACCGAATCTTTTAGGGATTTTTAGAAATTTTTAAATTTTTTTAAAAACTAGTACCGGTTTCTTTTTATACTGTAATTATTGTATTTTGATGCACTGATTACGAAAATTAGTAGTATTTTATTTTTATCGTCAACAACACAAAAATTATGGTGCAAAATTTACAAAAAATAACTCTCTGAATCTAAATTAGTGACTTTTAACTAATTCAACTACGCTGATTAGTTCATTAAATGAATTACTAACCGTTTCGACTAATCATAGTTGAAAATAACTAATTGTTAATAGAAAACTACTAAATCGTTTAGTAAAGCCACTATTTTGATTAGTAAATTTGAATAAATGAATTAGTCATATTCTATTGTCAATTAGTTATTTTCTACTATCAACTAGTCAATTTTTACTATTAATTAGTAATTTTTTACTCTCAATTAGTTAGTTTCTACTATCAATTAGTTATTTTCTACCAGTTAGTCAGTTTTGACTAAAAATTAGGCAAAACAGTTAATAATTAGTAGTAGAAAATGACTAATTAATAGTAGAAACTGACTAATTAATAGTAGAAAATAACTAAATAATACATTAGAAAATATAAAATAATAATTTATAGTAGAAAATAATAATTAACCGATAGTAGAAAATTACTAATTTATGTATTCAAGTTTACTTATCGAAATAATAGTTTCTCTAAATGTCTTAGTATTTTTCTACCATCAATTAGTTAATTTTTACTATAAATTACAGTCATTTTCATTACTAATTAGCCATTTTCTACTGTCAATTAGTCACTTTTGACTAGTAATTAGTCAAAACATTTAGTAATTTATAGTACAAAAGGGCTAATTCATAGTAGAAAATTACTAATCGATAGTAGAAAATTACTAATTTATGTTTACAAGTTTACCAATCGAAATATTAGTTTCTTTAAATGTCTCAGTATTTTTCTACTATCAATTAATCAATTTCTACTATTAATTAGTTATTTTTTAATTTCAATTAGTAATTTTCTATCAATTAGTCATTTTCTATTACTATTTACTAACCGTTTATGCCTAATTTTTAGTCAAAAGTGACTAATTGGTAGAAAATAGCTAATTGATAGTGGAAACTAACTAATTGAGATTAAAAAATAACTATTTAATAGTAGAAATTAACTAATTGATAGTAGAAAAATACTAAGACATTTAGAAAAGTTAATATTTCGATTAGTAAACTTGAATACATGAGTTAGTAATTTTCTACTGTCGATTAGTTATTTTCTACTATCAATTATTATTTTCTAATGTATTATTTAGTCATTTTTTACTTTTAATTAGCCATTTTCTACTGCCAATTGCTAACTGTTCTGTCTAATTTTCAGTCAAAAATGACTAATTGTTAGAAAATTACTAATTGAAATTAAAAAATAACTAATTAATAGTAAAAATTGATTAATTGATAGTAGAAAAATACTAAGACATTTAGAGAAACTAATATTTCGATAAGTAAAATTGAATACATAAATTAGTAATTTTCTACTATCGATTAGTAATTTTATACTATTAATTAGCCCTTTTGTACTATCAATTACTTAAAGTTTTGACTAATTATTAGTTAAAAGTGACTCGTTAATGACTAATTGATAGTAGAAAATTGCTAATTAGTAATGAAAATGACTGTAATTTATAGTAGAAAATAACTAA